AAAAACATACAACACCAGGTATTCGCTGGTCGTCACCGACCCAACTACTAATCCGGCCCTCATTGGCTTGTCTATGGGAGAGCGGACGGGATCCCGAATTTTCCAATGGGTATGGTCGTATGTGCTGGAATAAGGGCATCGTGATACCCATGCAGGCACGCAGCGCAACGAGCACAACAGCCTTTCGTGGGGAACCTTCGGCAGTAAATCAGGCACGTGAATCAATCTGAGCTTACCCGAAGATTGCCACTTATCCTGCTCCATTGTGAGTATGAGATGCAATACAGCGAGGAGGTTCTAAGTGATTCAGCAGCCCACAGGCACTTTACAACGAACACAACATTCCCGTCATATTTACCAATTGCTGTCAGTATTATCTGAGATTTTCAACATGCTATAAGCCTGCAGATGATTGATAAATGGTAGATTTAGATTGATGTAATGTCAACATGAAGGATCGATGTGCAGGCCCTCTAAGAACCTTTCTAAATGCGTCAAATACGCTGGATACGCTTACTACATAATATCCTTAAGTTCCTTGATTCTGGCATCAAAATCTCAGAGCTATGCTATCTGAGTTTGGTTCTTCCGTCGGAATATTTTGACGTCTAGTACGGAACACATTCGCAAATATTGCCGGGGAGACTTTGGGGAGAAGATTGGTTAGCTCAGGTTGCCAATGTGTTGCCAAGAACATCGAGTGGACGACTCACCGGCACAGCTTGTCCGCAAAGCCACCGCAGTTTTGAATGCAGTCTGCCGTGCTCTGGCAAGCCTCTTGTGCCAAGGCCTGTTGCGAGAAGAAGGCCAGGGCGGTCACGGCGACGGAGATGACATTGAAGCGCATGCTGGGCGAGTTTAATAGATTGTAAGGTGTAATAGACGGATCTTGGTTACTTGACTTGGGAAAAATAGGATCACATGTACTTTGGAAGGTGGGCATCTAATGGCTTATATACCGACCAAATTATGTAAACTTATATCTCCCCACTTTCATACGCGGCTACTCAAATGTCAAAGGGGAATGTGAATGGGGCCTCATCGTCGACTTAATCTAAAGTAAACAGTCAATCAGTACTACTTTAACTCTATTCTGGGCGTATGAATGAGTTGGTTTGAGCTTTGGCATGATTAGAGTTTTTTGCAAACCATGGCTTCCGAGCTGTAATGTATTTCACTGCCCCATCAGTGTCGGAGTCCACGGTCTCGTACCGGAAAGCGAAACCGAGTCTTAGACCTGAGTCGTCCATCTCAGCGGCCGTAGTTAAGTCCCGTGAGGCCCGATGCAGGGTTTCGGTGTCATGCCAAGTGGCCTATTCTCGTTCTCTATGATCATGATTACTATCCATACATGCCATGAGCTACATGGAGTCTTCAGTGAGCTTCCAATTACTAATCATGAGGCTACAGAAGACATTGTGCGGATTATTCATGTCTTTTTTGGAGATTTTCGGCATATGCACAATATGATTGCATTCTCTGACTCTCGGTTGAGTCAACGTATATGTACTGCCAGGAATAAAGACGTTCCTTAAGTTCAGTCATCCTAGAGGCTAGAAGCATAGCAGAGTATCGACTCCTTTTTGGCTTTTGGTTTCGGCAACAGACATCGTTCGAGAGGTCTCGACATTTATTCGGATTCTCTGGAAACTTTCCTCATGCTTGAGTCACATTGGCGAGGCTGTTAATCTCGAGTATTCCCGAGTCCATGTACAGACGTTCGCACATACTCGCAGTGATGATAGTAAGGTAGTGTCTTGATAGATCGAACTATGGCTCAACATAGACCATTCCAACGGTCTAGATCAGAACATGTTCTGTATTGGTGTAGTAATTACGTAGACGTACATTTTGTTATAAAGCTGCCCCAATTTTAGCACTAGATAAAACCCCACAGATCTGAAGTCTATAGTTGAGGAGCTTAGGTGTACCTAATTGATCACGACATGCCGATACGCGATGGCGTAGTTGTACTCCGTTGTTCCCGCTCAGTATTTCCGAACGAAGTTGAAGTAAAGGCCAATCACAGAGGATTGTTTTCAACGCATTTGTGCTTTACATGGGTATCTTTAATCTCACATGGCCGAAGAAGTTGTCGATGGGCGGACGTTCACCTCAAGTAATATTGTGAACTTCATGTTCATCTCTCTGATAACTTTAAAGCGAAAGGCACGTGAAATCTGCAAGTTCTTTTAAGCAGGTAGAGTTGAACTGGTATCATTATGGCAAGTCTTCCTAGCCCTTATGCCTGGCTCAATGCATTGTGATCATCCGGAATTGGAAAACGGTTTGTGCTGTTGTGGATTACCCACCGCTATCGGCTCTGCACCAACATCATGATGCCGGGGAGCTCTCATCACGTCATGCGGGACTAGTCTCCAACTAGATTTAAGTAACCGAAGATTTCCACAAGGTCATCGAGACTCGAGAGCAACGCTTAAGAATACGCTTCCGCAGAAGAGTGTATGACATGCCAGAGCTATCATCTTTCCTCTCGTTTCCAACTTACATCTTTCTTGAAGACCCCAATATTGACTCGAGTCGACCATCTACCATGGCCGCGATTGCAGTAGACCAAACCCCCAAAACCTCTGTTGGGGGGCCAGAACAAGAATCTCAAGTTCATAACGCGTCGGCTTCGCCGCCTTTTGAGGCTTTCGAAGTTCCCGGTCAACAAGACACCGCTAAGTTTGGGCTGCCGTGGTCGGCAAGCTTTCCTCTCGGGCTTAAAGCAAGCCAGGCCCTTGGTCTCTCGGAAAGCATTGATGCCATCCAGGATTTCACCCAATCTGGGAATCTGAGCGGCCTGATCAAAGAACATGGAGGAGCGATTCTTATCCGTGGCCTCCCGATAGAGACGCCCCATGACTATAGCAAAGTCGCCCACGCATTTGGCTTTCGTCCTCATGTAGAGGTTGGACGTCCGCCACTGCGGACCATCCTGGCTCCTAATGTCAAGACAGCAAACGAGGGGTAAGTAGCTAATATGCAAATGACCTCCAATTTTGATCTCTGTGCAAGTACCCGAGAGCAAGGCGCTGTCTTGTCATTCGACTTTCATGAAATTAGTTGGACTGACGTGAAGTAGTCCGCCAGAATTGCCAATTTGGCCTCATAGTGAATATGGTTGGTCAACAATCAACCCATCGTGGCTAACTTTCAGTGCACTCCAAATTCCAGAATCCGGTATGCTCTGAATAATAGCATACCTAGCTAAGTAGTATGCACGTGAACCTTGGTACTAACCATGAGGCAGGCGGCGCCACACCCATCACCTCGGCTATCTACATTGCTCATGAATTGTCACGTCTCAATCCTCAGTTTCTCTCGAATCTTCTGAACAAGGGTGTAAAATACGTCTATCGTTACACAACCAAGCCGCTCGTCTCCAACACTGGGACGAGCGTTCGTGGCGCTTATGGCCAGGAGGTCAGGGACGAAGATGACGAAGCCACGGCCCGGAGCAAGATCGAGGCTGAAGTTCGACGCCACAGCAACCGATTCGAGTGGCACGACGATGGTAGCCTGAGCGTAACGCACATTGTGCCCGGTAAGTTGAGTAGAAATCCTTCCGTGGATCCTAGGTTCGAAGCCTCACCCGGCCACAGACTGACACAATGGCGAAGCCGTTCGCATCCACGATCCTACAGGGACAACTGTATTCTTTGGCAATGTTACCTCCGCCTGGGGTCGTAGTCGCCATCATGGTGCGACACGACTTCCCTTCCGCGGCGATGACGGATCCTACCATCCTCCCCCGACATACGGCGACGGCACACCCATCGATGTTGAGGACTTGGACCTGCTGCTGAAACTCGCGGAAAAGGGTGCCGTAGATATCGAGTGGCAGAAGGGAGATCTGGTACTTCTTGATGTGAGTATCTGCCTATGGAATTTGGGACGCTAGCACGATGTGGCTGACACGAGAGGCGCTTCTCACAGAACTACGCCGTGATGCACTCCCGCAAGCCGTGGAAGGGGCAGCGCCAGGTACTCGCTGCTCTGTGGGACGATGACGGAAGAATCAGGGATTTTCCAGAAGGCTTGGAATTGCTGAAAGGTAGTCCTAGGAACCCTCGGACGGAGTTTGATGATGATGAAGGGCGTTGATTATCGGCCCCTTGAGGTCCTGATTGGTTGAAGGGTGTAGTTTCACGAATATCATCCCCGTGCGTGGATGATCGTAGCCGCGGCGTAACTAGTCAACAATTGGCCAAGCGTACTACCCCGTTCATTTGATATGAAGTGGCAGATCTGGGGCTTCCGCTTGGACGGCATAAAGAGCTTTGCACAACTTCATTGCTAGAAGAAATTGCAACTTGAAAAATTCTTCATTGGAATTAATTACTACTTTGTGTTGAAAACCTAGCTCAGACATTGCTCTAACAACCTAACTCAAGACGCCTCTTGCTCAACCTTAGGACGGGCAAGTAGCCCTCTTAACTCTCTTCGCGCTAGTCTCTTCGAGCTCCGCCAATCCAAACCAGCCACAAGCGGAATCGAAGAGGGCGTCGAAGCCGTTGTAGAACATCCTGCCAGTGTTGATGAAGGGCACGTTGGGTGCCACGGGTGGATCCTCCAGAACGAATCCCGAGGGCTGCATTGTCGCAGGGTTGGGCTTACCCGCACCCTGGGCAGTGACGTTGTAGGTCGCAATCGGGTTCTTTTCGTTGGGAATGTGAACCACCACGACGGTTCCCTTGGCAGCAACCTGAGGATGTGTCTTGATAGCCTTGGAGGTGACATTCTTGAAGTGTGATCTGACGTCTTTATTAACTCGAAGGAACGCCTGGGGGATACCAGTATCGAAAAGGGCCGGGCCATGGTCGTAGGGCGAGTCGTTAACTTTGATTGCCATGTTCACCATGTTCCAGTCGATGGTGGAGTTGGATCCGGATCGGACGTCGAGCTGCGTCTTGCAGAATCCTTCGGTGTTCTCGCTCGTGAGACCGACCTCGACGCCATCTTTGCCCAGAACATAGCCCTGGTGAATCGTACTCTTCACAGGTCGACCGCCGATAGACGCGATGTTGATCAAGGACACCTTATCAGGCAGGGCATCGGGCTGCTCGCTGCTCCATCTACCGAAGCCGACACCCATGTAGTGGATATCCTTGGGGTACATTGTGATGTTAGACTTCTGAGCTTCCGTGCAGGAGCCCTGGGTCTTCCATGCGCGGCAGATACTGGCTTCGGTGACGATCAGGATAGGAACGGAGGCAACGACGTCTTCGCCGATTGTGCGCTCATCTACCATTGCAGGGAAAGTGAGGTTCGCATCGACCCAGTAGCCTTGCCACAGTCTACCGCTCGAAGACAGATATTCGTTTCCGGGCTTGGATTTGTCGAACGGTGTTTTTTCGTCAAAACCGAGAACGCCGGCACCGATCATGACGCCGGTGGAACCGGTGTCCATGCCAGCAGACTTGATGTTCACCGCCTTCCTGTTAAGCGTCTCCAAGTCTTTGGTCATGACCGTGAACGTAAGTGAGGGCGTGGTGTTGATGTCAGGGAACTTGTTGATGAAGGGGATGAAGGCGGTGTTATTTTCCGTGGCCCTGGGGTATACTGGGGGTCCTGACGCGGGGCATGTTGCCGCTGCGGCCAACTCCAACAAGGCCGAGATGGCTAGAGAGGTAGAGAAGTGCATTTTCATGATGAGGTTGATGGAGACGATGAGATTGATGGAGGGAGAACTAGATGCTGATACTGCGAGGCCCACGCCGGTATTTAACGAGATTCGATCTGCGAACCTTCAAGCGTAGTAATCTCTCTCAAAAACCTTGAAATCGCATTTAGATTATGCCCCTCAGCTATGCCGTAGCTGAGGCTCAGCTGAATGTCTGAAAGGCTCGTGGCGCCGAGACATACGAAAACGTGGCATCCGGTTCTATGGGAAATAGCCAGATCTGGATGGAATTCTAATGGGAAATGCGGCAAGAAGCGTGGTCGGGCCACAAGCCATGTGTGGAATGCCGGAACCGGCGATAGTCGGCATGGGGTTGGTCTGGGCCTCCACACCTCCGCAAACTATAATGAGACATGGCATTTGGATCCCCAACCTAAAGCGATGCTAATGTTCAGTGGACAAGAAAAGAAAAGAGGTTTCTCCACGGTCGTCTTTTGTCTTTAGGATGAAAACAGCTGCAATCGTATATTATCCTCTCAAGAGGAAAAACACGTCCCTAGGGCCCTCGTAAATCAGTCGATGCCCTCAATTTAGAGCGAGTCTAGCTTCTTTGCGCACTTTACTCTGCGGACCGGAATTAGACTTCGCTTCGATCGAAAATTCCATAACCCATCAAGGTCCTCTGCCTTCGGCGGAGTTCCACGCCATCGAAAGTCAATGGCAAACCCAGCAACTTTCTTTCGGCATGAACACCAACAACAACCCGTTGGAATTCTTCAGTCTAGCTACTCAAACCTCTTCAGCCATGCGTCTGCCTTGACCCATTCCTCAACAAGATGCTTCTGCCGACCCTCGCCACGCACTTTGAAGCTGACATCAAAAGCCTTTGGCCCAGTCAGGATCGCGTCTTTGAAAGCAGTCTGCATCGAAGTATCCGGCAGCGTATCCCCCGGTACGATGTCAAAGCACCAAAGGAGCTTGGACATGGTCATCAACATGCTGTTCTCAGCCATGCGCTGACCGGCACAAATCCTTCTTCCGGCCCCGAAGCTGTAAGTAGGCCGGCGAGATTGATCTTCATCTGCCGCCTCGGATTTTTGATCGCGACTCTTGACACCCAGTGGATTCTTCATGAATCGCTCCGGTTCGAAAGTGTCCGGATCCTCGAACTCATCCGAATCATGGTTGATGGCCCAGATATTCATGAGAATTGTAGTCTCAGCGGGGATGTTGTAGCCCTTGTAAACGTCGTCGCGAGTTGTTGCGTGAGGAATAGCCATGGGAAACCCTGGTCGCCACCTGAGAGTCTTCAGAGCGAGTTAGATTGTCGACAGGCGTACATAGTCAAAGGAAAGAAATTGCAAGAGAAACTGACCTCTAGGAAACAAGCCTTGATATAAGGCAAATTTTCTGCAGTTAGAAGTTTAGTACGTACACCACTCTCGACAAATACTGCATCGACCTCTGCTTGAGCTCTTTTCTGGATAACCGGATGCGCAGCCATTGCCAATACAAATGTCTCAAAAGCACCGGCAGTTGTGTCCGAGCCTCCTTCCATCAAAAAGCCAGCGATGTACTCCAACTCGAGATCGCTATAGCCTTCTTTTTCGTTATCTCGCAAGAGTCCTGCCACGAAGCTGTCTTCAGCCTTCCCCTGACTGATGCGTACTTTAGCTTCCTCGAACAGGTCGTGATACAATTCGTTCTGCTTCAACTTGAGGTCTGCCGCTCTTAGCTTCCAACCTTGCCAGGGCGTCAGGAAGTCCGGCACGTATCGCAAGAATGGCACTACATCGATGGGGGGGACAGCACCCTGATCCAGCATGCCTGCCCACTCCGCTTGACATTCAAAGAACTTCTTAATCTTGCCCTCATCGCTGAAATCCTTTCCGCGGGTGCCGAAGACGCTTGACATGATGATGGCGCCAAAGTACCGCAAAATATGGTCGTGGTAATGAGCAGGCTTACACAACAGCTCATGCATCATTTGTGATGATTCAGCGTCTTGTATCAGCAAGAGCTTGTCAACCTTTTCGTCCTTCAGGAAGTCCGTGATCGTCTTCCTCTCCTTCCTCCATTTAGGCCCATACCGCAAAAAGACAAGATGGATGTCACCGGGTGGGGGTAGCACGTACTCCACGATAGGCACGTACGGTCGGGACGAGTAGACGGCCCCGCGCTGGTCGAGGAGATCGCGCACGGATTGCCAGGTGTTGAGGACGACGGCTTTGTTGCTGGGTCCGAGTGACAGGCCGACCAGGCCGTGCGATCCGTACGTGCGGCTCCATGATGCGAACTGGATAAATGGTTTCGTCAACGGTATTTGGTGAAGGTTGCCGAGAAATGGTATAGTAGGAGGCCCTGGAGGAAAGTTGATGTTGGGCTTGGAGGTCTGGAGGCGAGGGCGTAGTAGGAAGTACACGAGAAGTGCGCCAGCAACACTTAGTGCAAGTATCGAGATCGCCATTTTGAGAATCAGAGATAACTCAAAGTAAGCCTGGTTCACCGCATATCGAAGAATCGCACACTGTTATATACCCAATTATTGATGACTTGACCGCCGCACTCATCCTGCCCTTTCGCAAATGAGAGCAATCTCATTGGCTCATAGGTGTTGGAATGAGTAACGGCACGCATATGCGTGTAACGCTCTGCTTACGCTGTCCAGCATGGTTCCATCATTTTATTGCTGGAAAATCAAGTCTCAAGCAGCATCGGAGACAAATTGGAGATGATCTACCGCAAAGAACATGGTGCTAAGTATGAGGTAGGAAAGCTGGACTGTTGCCAGTTCGACTATACAATCAAAAATTGCCGAAATTCATACGTTGCTGATGTCAAAGACAATCTTCAACGAAAGGACGTCTACAGGGCCCTGCCAATCTTATCGATCTTGTGGGAATATTTCCTTAGATCTCAACTGTTTCTGATCAATTGGCAATGCTCGAAGTTGCTATACGCGATTGTGATTGCATTGGTAGATAGTTTGAGAGCTGGTGTTATGCAAAACATCGCAACAGATACACTAGCGACGGCGAAAGGTCGAACATGACTAGGTACGCGGCGTATTCACATCATAGCAGGAGTACACACGACATGAAACGAGAATGCCAAGGCTTGGGAATAAATGTCAGACCTGTTGGCATCGGCATTGACACTCGTGCCTTTCCCAAATCCACCTCACCAAAGACAGGAAACCACGAGTAAGGTCAGGTTGCTGAGAAAGCAGTCTCATGTGGACCACGGCGGAGTTTATCGCCCAAAAACTCCGTATGGTCAAACTGATTCCATCTCGCGACTCCATGTGTTCGCAAAACAGTCCTTTCTGAGACTAAGAAGATGGCTGCCCCATAGAAAGAGACTGCAGATAGGCGCGACTCGATCGACACATGAGGGGTTCCAAGGGCAGAATATGCTCCGCTTCACAACCCACCGCACGCCACGCCTACCGCCCTTGACAGTCTGTCAGGTGTACTGTCAGGTCAGAGTAAATGTTGTGTCACCGCGATAACTAACAGGGGTCGCGGCCGGACCCTCAGACTTCTCGGGAGAAGCTAAGGCCCTGGGGTGGTCAGCACCAAGAGCGAGAAGACGGGATGATGTGCGGACACGGATGGGATGAACACTCCCATGTCCGCGTTGCATCATCTGTGCGTCCAGGGGGGGGGGGGAGTCAGGAAGACGTATGGATGCACATGTGAATGCAACATTACGGATGTTTTTTGCTCCTTGCAGCGGGATCTTGTATGCTTAAGGTTTAGCTGAGACAGAAACAACCATAAGCATATCAAATCTCTTTCAAGTTTCTTCAACGTCGGGACGCACCACCACACGGTGGTCAAGACGCGTCGATCGTGTCTCTGGATTCCAAGACATCATTTACCCGTACCCCCTTTCAACTCTTTTCCCGACTCAAGACGTCTGAAGGAGGTGGAAATTCCATCAGACTTATCAAATGAAGACCTTTTGTCGAGCCCGTAAGGGAATAGGCACCAAAGCCGCATGGACAGTTGGCGTCGCTTAGCGCCTCTCGTCCTCAGCAAACAACAAACGCCACTCTTCCGATGTAACCGCTAGCTGTATCATAAGAGGCCGCCGCGTCTCGCAGCCGATTGCGCTAGCTTTCGAGGCCGCCTACCCGCCAGCCGCAGAAAAGAAACTGGCGGGAGCGTTCCTGGGTGATGGGGTAAAAGTCCGTAGCTTTGACCGTGGGAACACTTGGAGCTGTGCCCTTTTCAGTCTAGAGGAGGCGAGTGAACGACAAGGCTCGGACCTCCTCATCACAGCTAGTGCAATCCTCATATCCGCATTGACCTCGAACCTCTCCCTTCCCTACGGCCTACGGGACGAGGGGTGGCTGTCTCTAATACCCTCAGTCTCGCAATTGTCTGCGGGCTGAGAGGGTTCTGATCCTACTTGTTGTGTTTTCACGTCCCTCTCACTTCAGTCATTCGTTCGTGATCAGGGCCTACCTTCGTTTGAGGTGCTTCTTTTTCAATTCTAGCCTTTCTTACACAGCTGCATGACAGGAGCATTTGAGACTTCAAGCGGGCGTTTGCGGACTGTCGCTTGGAGAAACATTCGCATATCAGCATACGACCTTACAACATACTAGTAAATACCTACACAACAAAACAGCAGGACCTGGATAATAATGCACCATGGTTGATCAAGGAATCCACGGGCAGTGGTATAAAATCGCGGGGAAGCTTTTCAACAGGGGCCTAATTGGAGATATCCTCGGCACACCCGGCGCCATCGTTAGTCAAGTATTGTCGTCGCCGGCGACGACAACTCAGGAGAACGTCCAGGCAGAGGGTACACCAGCGGCAGCGGCGACGACACAAGCTGCCGCTGCACCGGCCGCAACAACAGCAGCCGCTGCTCCTGTGGCTGCGACGACAACACCAGCTGCACAACAACCCGCTGCATCACCGGCGGCGACGACGAAGCAGGAGCAGCAACAAGCTGCGACAACACCAGTCGCTCAGGCACCAGCAGCGGCAGCGACGACATCACAGCAGGCAGCTCAGGCATCGTCGACATCAGCCGCACCAGCAAACCCTCCAGCAGCTTCAAGTTCATCTTCAAAGGCTGCAGCTGCTGCTTCGTCAACACCTGCTGCAGCTGCTACGACCGTTCCAGCAGCAGCTGAGAATGCAGCTTCATCACCAGTGTTATCCCAGGCGGTCACATCACAGGCAACAGGAACAAGTGTGACCGGGGTTGGAGCGGGGAGCGCATCAAGTACAAGATCTGGCGTGACCAGTGCTACGCAAACACCGTCGCCGAATTACGAGAATACATCATCATCAAGCAGCCAAGGACCGTTGGTCGCCACTGGAGTCGTGCGTAAGTGTATCCCTGCAGCTTTGCTCCATAGCTTTCCAATGTTGATACTGACTGATACGCAGTGGGCATTGTGGTGCTCATGGGACTCTCCCTCTTGATCTTCTGGTGCTATCGTCGGAGAAGGAGAGCAGCCCGCCATCTTCATGAAGCCGTCGCCCCCGAGAGTCCTAGCAACGAGTACGGTCCGGCCTCGCCTTTCCGCGATCATGTCGACCAAAGTTACACTGAAATGACTGAGAATCGTACGGTCTCCAACGAAGATGATTTTACCATTCAACACCCGGAACCCGGATACCAGCCTCCTTCCCAATCGCCGATGTCACCTCAAACGCAGGACACCCCAAGAACAAACCCATATGCAGCATCTCCCTTCTCATACGCTCAAGCACAACAATACGTTCAATCTCTCGCAGGCACAGGGACTTTTGGCTTCCCTCCGCCGCCTCCAATCCCAGAGCCATCACCTATTCGCATCTTCAGATGGCCAACTCGTTCATCCCGCAGCGGCAACTCAACACCTAGCGTCTTCTCCGGATTCCGCACACCAAAGACGCCCACTCGCGCTCTATCTCGGGCTTCTCGAAGCACCGTGTCATCTATGCTTTGGCACGGCCGCAGAGACGTTGCCCGGAGGACCATCATACGTACTCCCGGATCTCAAAAGTCAGCAAAGTCAGCAAAGTCGCGTACCAACATTTCTTCTCACAGTCCCGAGAGCACGATGCCGGAGGGCCTACATACTCCCATCCTGGATTGGCTTCAGTGGATCCGCGGCCACCAACAAGTCGAGCCCGACCCAGAGATGAACCATCGGAAGAGCTTCGCCAGCACCACAGCGAGCTCGATTTCCGAAACAAGCGTTGCAAGCACAGCCAGTAGCGGTGTCTTCTCGCCCACACTCCTTTCCTACCATCCTCCGGCCAACACGCCGAGTGTCACAACCGATACCATTCAATATCTACCTCTGCCTTTATTTAAGAAAAGAGCCAGTGATAACAATAGCGAGGTCACGGTGGAAGCGTCCGGCACGGTCCGCATCCCGAGTTTCGGATGACGGCACAATACAAAACTTAATGATATCCCATTTTTGGGGCAACAGTCGTCGATTGCATGGCTCAGGTGTTCTGGTTTAGCAATTTCTCTATTTTCATCCAGTAAATATTAAATCTGAACAAACTCAACCTCAATGTGCCCACGTCCCAACTTGCAAATGTGCTTCAACTCGACCAACTCAAAGCTCTGTGCCATCGATGATGACCTCTTGCTCTAAAGCTTTTCTGTTGCGCCCAGGATAAAAGCATGCATAAAAAGCGCACCCTGACACGAAACCAACAATGCCCAGTGAACCATACATCCAAACAAGGTAAGGATCTTGCGAAACAGGCGCAAGCGCAATGCAAATGGCGGCGGCTATGCCAATAGTCAACCAGAAAAGGGCGGACACAACCGAACGAAGACTGAAGTTAAATGACGTTGTCAGCAAGGTAGTCTTATCTAGACCCCTGAATCCAGAAAGGGCACCGGTAAGCTTACTTCTTTGGGGCCTGGGTGAAAGCTAGCTCCAGCCCGGTGACGATGATGAACGCCTCGGAGAACGCCACGAGTATGTAAGCGGGAGCCTGTATCCAAACGTGGATGCTTTTGGGCGGGGAGTTGTAAATGTAATGTTGCAAGACGCTGGCGTAAACCATAGATATGGAGGCGAAGAGAAAGCCTACGAAGATTCTGGTGACTGGATCGAAGTCGATGCGGTATTTGCGGAACATGGGATACACAATCACTAAGAGGGTTTATCAGTATCGATACCGTGAGCACATATCATCGGAAACCATGGAATCAATCACCCACCGTCTAAGAAAGGGATGAAGATGCACAAGGCGATGGGATCCAGATTTTGCAGCAGATCATTTGGAGTCCCGTGCAAGGCCATCTCGCCCGCTTGAGAAATAAGATTATTCCAGATCTGAATCCAGCAAATGAAATAGAGGGGGAAGAACAAGAACATCTGGTAGTCGAATGCACGAATTAGCCTCACGCAAGCAATACTGTGCAGACTCAAACGAAAGATGGAAGATGGGCTTCTGTTGGCTCACCTTGCAGCTCTTCAGGCCTCGCATAACATCCATCACATATCCATCAGTATATCTGGCCTCACTTGAGAATGCGTAGTTGTCATCATGTCCGGACTCTCTCAAAGCCGAGGGGGTCGCGTTGCTAAACCCCTTTTCCTTGATAGCGATGCGAGTCACCTGAAGAGCGTCGATTATGGCAGAACCCTCTGGAGGAACTTTGACATAATTCTTCTGCCCGGAGATGAAAATGCTGGCAGAAATGATGATGGCACTGTGACTGTCAGTGATATCTTCTGTTCGTTGGAAGTTCTGGCTCTTACATAAGTGGAATAAGGTACGCCAGCCAAAACGAATGGTGTGCTTCGACGTTGACAGTGATCAATGGCGACAATGCGCCGATGTTGACAACCCAGTAAAACCTATTTGAGTATTAAGGACCTTGAAATTTTGAGCGAACAGGCGCTGAAAATTGACTTACCACATGAAGAGTCTCTGTACTGTGAGCTCAGGATCAACTAACACTTCTTCGCCCGACTTCAATGTTTTAACAACTGGGTGTGAGTTCTGGTATTGTTCCGCACACATCGGCGTCACGTTGGCCTTGATACCGCCAGTGCCCAGGCCAATCGTAATCATAGCTGCGATCAAACCACCAAATCCCGCGCCGTTAGTGATCGATGCAGGTGTTGAAGTGGCGACGAGGATGATGAGACCGACGATGTACACAGCACAGGCAGCAAGAATCGCCTTGAACTTTCCAAGGTACTGGTCTACGACTCTCGATGTTAGCGGTCTTCGTTTGGAACAAGAATTAGGAAGAGATATCGCAAGCCAAGTCTCAACGTACCTGCGATTATGGCTCCGATCACGGTGGATGCGTAAGCCCAAAACTTGAAGAAGTTACCCAACGCTGTCGCTACCGCTTGACCCCGGCCGAGGGCCCCAGGTAAGTCGGATGAAGGATCATAAGGATTGCTTTAGATTATAAGAATCAGTCAACCCTTGAATCATGCAGCTTTTTAGGTGAATATTGGGTTTTTGTCGTTCTCACTTGATGTAGTTTTGAATTGGACCGCTAAGTCCGAAGTATGTGAACCGCTCTCCAAGCTGAGAACCTCTGTTAGGTCTTTTACGCTCCGAAACCCTGGTATTCAGATACGTACTTCCACAACTAGAATCAACAGGGCGACAGCTGGCAGTTTATCCGGGACTCTTCGTAAACCTTGCCATTGCTGTGCAGGCAGCTTGAGAGGCCCATCGGGTTGCACTTGGGCATCTTCTGGGCTAGTAATGCTGTCCTTTACGTCGGTCATCGTAAGCTTCAGCAACAATGCATACTGGGGAATTTGAAAGAGGTAATAGTGAATGATATTAAAACGGCATGATACAACGAGGTGTCATGTTCTGGAGTCAAATACATGGCCGACAGTCCAATACCGATCTTCGATGCTCCAAGTTTGGTTGGCTATTAGTTCCTTGACTCGATCCGGCGCGGAGGGTAAAGCGGGGTCCCCCGGACACGGACAAGCATCAACAGATATGAAAGATAACGCTGGGCCATTTTCTGGAGTTTTCATTGGTGGCGTTCTCTGGCCTATCATCGCCGACACTTGAGAACAACACCGCCAATGAACTTCAATACCGTGATCGAAATGGGGGCTCCGGCCGTGGTCTCCACCAAGATCGGCCAAGTGAACGCCGCCAATGGAATGTAAAGTCGGCGGCGGATAGGAATGAGAATGAAAGTTAGCCCTCCGGTTCGGAGATAGAGGCCGGAAAGTGAGATAACGGGCGAATCGTTGCTACTGTGCTAGCGTCTTCAATGTTTTTCTCTCGAATTTCACCTGAGTTGGAACATCAAAGTCAAGCCATTTGAGCCAAAATCTGTTTTCTCAAGTCCATTGGAGGGCAAAATCAGACTTCTGGTTAAGGATGACAGTTTCGAGGAGAGTCAAAGACTCGCAGCAAGCACCAGAGCCAGCCGCTGGTCGACTTGAATTTTCTGCTACCGAATACCCTGGAATTGACCCTCAATGGGTTCAACTATGGAATGAACACGGAGGATCGATGGTCAGAGCGGATGAAGTTGAGCTGGAAGACTACCGGAAAGATCCAGCCAAGTACAGTTTTACCTATCCAACTTACAAAGGTTCGGGCCTTCCCAATGCAGAACTCTCGTGAGAGGTGTACTAAACAGCAAACTCCTAGGCCCAAATGTCTTTCACGTGGAAGACCGCAAGGTCCCAGTAACTACACCGATTGGAAAAGTGTCGGTACGGATATACTCTCCCGAGGGCTCCGGGGCATTTCCTGTGCACCTCAACTTCCATGGAGGTAGTAAACATCCAAGTTGTGTTTCGTGGAACTCTGCTCATATTACCACTCACAGGTGGATGGGTGCTGGGCGGCCTTCAGAGCGAGGCTGCATGGTGTCGGCACATTTGCAATAAGTCCAACATCAAAGTCATCGATGTAGACTACCGCATGGGACCAGAGTACAAGTTTCCAACCGCCATCTGCGACTGCTGGGATGCGGTAAAATGGGTCAGTGCTAAGTCGGGTCGGGTCGGGTCGGGTCTTCCATTTTTTAAGCTGACTGACAATGGTACAGGCCATCAAAAACGCGGATGCTCTGAATATCGACCCCAAAAGCGTTTCTTTTGGCGGACTCTCGGCAGGTGGCCAGATGTCAGCGGTGCTTGCTCATCTCGCAAGAGATGAAGCTATAGCAATCAAGTTGCATCTCATGATTGTGCCAGCGACAGACATGAGATACTGTCACAGAAGCATCAAGCAACTTGACAAGTCAAATTGCCCATATGAGAGCGCTCGTTTGTATCAGGATCTGCCTTGGGGGCCTCTCGGCCGAGAACAATGGTTCTTGAAGTACTGGCTTGGAGAAGATGCTGGTGAGGGAAATCGGGACTGTGCTTTTGAAGCTTCCGCTGATTCCATGAATATAGATGAACAAGCACGACTCCTCAACAATTGGATGCTTACACCAGTACTGGCGCCAAACTTTGCTGATTTGCCGCCTGCACATATCATTACTGCAGAGTTTGACTTGGAAAGAGACGAGGGAGAATACTACGGGAAGTTGCTCCGGGATGCAGGGAATGAGGTTTCGATGAAACGGTACACAGGAGTTCCTCATGCATTTGCTCACTATAACCATCCTGAAAGGGGCCTTCCTAAGAGTTTTGACTTCATTGAAGACACGGCTGAGCTACTCAAGGAAGTGCATCATGAGAAGTGATAATCAAGATGCAGGAAATAGAAAAGATTGTTGGAGTTTACATGTATTGTTCTATGAGTTTATTGCATTGGACAAGCGACACCAGAGGCCTGATCTCAAGTAAGCACACGCATTCATACGGTTTCTGCTGCTTTGAATGCTGCTTCGATGTGCCCCTCAAGATGAAAGACGTTGGTAAGCCCTCGCCAAAAAAGAGCGTCGATTCTCAGCAATCCCAGGCGAAGGAACGAAAAGGACATCACTTTCGATCGAAGACTCTTTCGTGTCGACTGCAAATCAGTGATCCAATCGTAAGCTTCTTGATAACTGTGTGAGGAGATGGCCAATGTCATTTGAGTGAAGCAAATTGAGGAAAAGATTAGCTGAGTCCAAGACGGCCAAAAGACATTATCTGTGTCTGAGCTCAAGCTCTTCACGACATCGGATAGGCCACGAGTACAATCTCTCATAGATTGTCTCAGCTCTTTTATCATGCTCGCTCCTTTGTCAGATAAGTTGTGGTCGGTTGTACTTTGGACTAATATTGGGCGAAGTTGAGCCCGCAAGATGATCATACGAACGTATAGCTGGATAAAACGTTGTGAATTTGATTCTGAAATAGCCGGGCCTGCGACCGAAGTAAGACTTTGGAGAAAGGTTTTTGTTAAGACGGAAGTCCTGTCGTGGTTATTGGTCAAGCCATTAACAGCGCGGATTGAACTGTCATAATCATCAGCATTGTGAGGAGAAAGATTAAAAAAAGGTGTGCCTCTTACTAAAGGCTGGCGAGCACCGAGTTGAGAATTTCAGTGACGGCAGAGAATTGAAAGAGCTGCGTCTCATTACGGTCCCGCAGTCCTGAACCCATAAAGCTTCCGTGTTCCACTGAGATAATGAGCCAATCGTCCCGACGAATCAGAGTCGGTGACCCCTGAACACTGGCTGTCCATGTATCGACGGCAAAGATACAGAACGACAGCCTCTGTCTTTGGGCCTTTTGCCAATCTGGCATAGACCATCCCGAGGGATCCAAGTGAAGACCCAGTGTGGTTGCGCAGGCAACCAGCCTTCCCAGAATGTCCCGCCTGTACGCCATGTCTGCGACGAGAGGGTCTGCAGATGGGCGTAAGACAAGGAGCAGAAGAGTCTGAGCGAACGCTATGCTCGGCGAGTGGACTTCGTAGGTGAGAGCCTTGTTGATAATTTGGCTCAAGGCCGGGTAGGGAGGGTTGTCATATGCAACGTCGACACTGAGCTTATCATCATGAAGCGCAAACGGTAATGTGATAGAGTAGATGGCGGCAAGGAGATACGGAGGTGACAAGGACGGCTCTGCAGGTTGTGATGTAGATAAAATGGGCCACTGGGGCTGAATAAAATCCCAGAAAAGTTTGATGAGACGCTCGCCGACGCGGAGTGGAATAATATTCTCCAACTCCTGCCTGTTCAAATTTTCTTGTGATTGGTCGAAACCAGCCTCCTGTCTGCGACGAGAAAAGATAGACTGTTGTGAGACGAGAAACTGACAAGGTACTGGTTGGTCTTGCACCGAGTGAATAGCAAGCTCTTTGAACCCGAACATGCCGCGGTCATCAAAACGATAGTGACGCAGGAGAAGAGGATCCATGTCACCACTGAGACCTAGTAATTGCGGATTGGCTCCTGGAGGACTTTCAACCTCCTCTATTGAGCCTGACGGAGGGGGCGCTCTCCTCATCCATACGGTTGAAGGAGTGCTTGGAGCCCGAGGACTTCGGAACATGGCCTCAAATTCGGACTGGGTAGTGCTAAAGTTGAAGTCTCCAGCATAGTCCAACTGAACAAATTCCTTGTCCGGAGACTGCGTAGGCAGTTGCGAAGCGCTTGGCATTGCCGTCGCTGATGCCGCCATCTGTGAACCAACGTGGGGTGAGCTCGCCCCGTCAATTGCACCAGGGCCATCATCAGCTGCCAAAAGCCTCTTCCTCGGCGCAGCAGCCTCGACGAAAGTACACTGACGGTTGTGTGATATACAGAGACGACATGGCGGTGCTTGATCAATGCGACATGCAGTCTTGCGGGAGCGACAGAAGTCACATGGGCGCTGGCGCTTGCTCATATATTTCCGTTGTTGACCAGACATTCTCTCGAGATAACGCTCAACGCGTCTTGGCTTCGAAACAAGGCTTCCTGGGAGAGGGCTTACTAGTCATCTACAATGCCACAACGTAGAAGTGCCGACCCGGTTGAGAAACCATTGTTGAATGAGATGAGGACGAGGTGGAGCATACGATCGATGCCTCGCTCGGCTTGAGTCAAGGAGTGGGACAGAAGGAAGATGCTGGAGACTCGAATCAACAAGACGCGAGGATCACGGCTAGCCAAAATTGATGCTACCAGCTGGCACCGGCTGGTGAGATCCTCGCCTGGGAGTTGATGGCCCGTCTTTCTACTTAACAACATGACGACCTCCGTCAACCTCGTGGCCAAATGCAACATCTTGAAGAGCTCCGAGATCTTATTTCAATACAGAACCACTATATTTGATCATCCCAGTAGTTGCTCCAGGCATACAAAAACCAAGGTGCATTCAAGAGAGGAACTCAGACTCGGGGCTCTATGCCACTCACTGTTCAGACCTTTGGGCAATGCAACTACCTTAAGCACACTGGTAATAGTACGGTGCCGAGACACCCTGGCAATTTGAACCTGACTGCACACAGTAGGCCAATGTCAGTTTCAAGACCTGGAGACTCGAATCGATCAGGATAAGGTGAGCAACTTACGGCACAGGTGGTGCACCCCGTCCAACCCTGACCACCACATTGCGCATACTTTTGAACAGTGCATGACGGCGGACTTCCAGTTCCAGGGGACGTGCCCCCTCCACCTACAGGCGAGACAGGAAGCGCCGTGCCGACGGGTCCTTTGGCAGCATCGCACGTAGATGCGCAACCACTGCATCCAGAGCCTGCAGTCTTTGTGGACCCAACCGAAGCAATGGCGGGACCGGGGACCGTATATCCAGACAGCTTTGCATGGATGTTGACAGCAATACCGGGGTCGCTCGCCTTGTACGCACCGGGGAAGCTGACCGTAGCCGGCTTCGCCGTCCCCGTACCGCCCGAGACCGAAAGCTGGAAGCATGTCATGTAGAGCTGCGCTCCACCTGAGGGTCCGGCAGCATGGAGAGCGATGACTTCCGCACGGAGAAGGTAATCTCCGTCGGCGATATCTTTGCTGATGGGGATGTCCATCTTGCCGCAGCAGGTGTTGAGATCTTTGGTACCCCAATTATCGTCATCACCGGAGCCGGAGCCGGATTTCGCGGACCAGCCGTCTTGGAAGATCTTGAACCAGCCAGCAGAACCGTCGGCTGTGGCGGCGTTGTCGACTTTGCTGAGGTAGACTATGACTGGGCCGTAGTGCGCGCCGCCGATGGCTTCATTCTTGCAACTTCTATCGCCGTTTTGCTGTTCGGGTCCTGTATCAGCGAAGATCTTTCCGTGGCCATGGAGCGTCGATAGCTTTACCTGATGCATCTCAACGGTGACTGTCCCACCGGCTTTGACCGGGCATTTGGCGTTGACGCCGCTTGTTCCGCCGACGTTGCATCTGATTTCATTACCAGCGACATTGGTGACAGGCGAGTTGCTTTGGGGCAATCTTGCACACTGCGAGCCTTAAGAGGAGGTCAGTAATGTATCATTCCCCTTCTAGGTAAGGTATAGACGTATCATGTCAACTCCATCAACCCAAAGTTGTTGGAAAGTGGCATGAGCGGCGATTTCTCTGCCGGCTATCGCTACGATGGCCGTGAAGATGTTCCACTTCATGGCAACTTTAATAGATGGAAAAGACGCTGGAGCGTATAACTTCGCGTTCAGCAAGTGACGTTCGACTGCGAAGAGGTCCACTAACTAGCAAGTTTTGAAAAGCTCTTGCAGACAGAAACCACGTTCGTACAAATCTGCTCGTTAAATACTTCCTTAGAGAACTGATGCAGCATGCAAGGTGAGAGGCGGGCGCCAGTATGCGCTATTCCCATTCCTCTAACCTTCCAACATTAACTATTGTCATTTTTGTGGGAATGAATCCGCGAAAAATGGCTTCCGGTGTTCATGGTGTACAATTGATATTGGTTCGGCTCTTGCCTATATGAGTCGTTCATCACGTGGGTTACTTGCCCCGGCTAGGCCGTCTCGGCATGTACATTGACCCAAGCTTCAATGTCTATAGCCCCATGAAGTCAATGATGACACACAGAAGTATTGGCCAGTTACAAAGTCCTGTCATATTGGTGTAGCACTGGAGCCTCAACTAGTACATTGTTGCACTTTGGAGCCTATATAGCCGGTTGTCCGGCAGAAGCTGCCGGCCCGATACCTTCCGTAACCGCCGTAGTGCGACGCAGGATGGGATCGGCTCTTTCAGATGCCAATCAAGAGGTTATTTATCTTTCAGGTGCCACTAAGGCTATCTCACTTGACGTCATCTTCCACTATTAATAGGCGGTCGCTTATGTTGAGAAGTGATCGAGCCAGATGTTACGAGCGGGAGACTTCGCATATCATTGAGGATGTTTGAGCTAACATAGGTATCTGACATTACTTCGTGAACGAGCATACATGCGTCGGTATGGTATTAAAGTGTCATCCACCGGAAAAACAAAACAATACTGGACATCTGAGCCTGAGCCGTTAACGCGTGAGCGAGGTGGCTAAAACAAAATGTGACTGTTCTACATCGGAAACATGATTACCGCCAAGAGCCAAGGAACATGGACTTTCATGACGGGCGCTGCAAGTACCGCAAGATCTCAGGATCCTGGCTCGGCGGGCACTTCTTCCCATCAACGCCAATGGAAGTCAGCAAGATCGGGTCCTCCACCAAAGTATCGGGATGGACCTCAAGGCCATAGGATAACTCCACCTTGGCGCAACGCGCCGCATCGACCAGCGCAGGCACATCAATCTCATTATCTCCAGTGCCCGCCTTTGCAGCACGGATCAGAGCCTCTCTCTGTGCAGCAGGTATACTCGACACCCTACCCGCAAGCTTGGAGCCCGGCGGCGGGGTTGAGCTTCCCCATTCGTAGTTCATCGGTCGCAACAGCGCCGCGCCCGTCTGTAGTACCCAGCTCTGCGCCGCCCCCATGTCCTCGACTTCCTCCTCAGCCTTCTTCCGCCACTTGGATGGGAGAATCTTGGAGAGGACGTGTACCGTGCCGAGAAAACCGCGCTTGACGGCTTGGAAGAAGCCGTAGACGTACTCATCGGGAACCTGTCGTATCAAAGCACCCAGTGGAATTACAAGGACACCGAACAACATCGACCAACCCCATTGTGCACCGTTAAGGGGGCGGGTGTCGAAGGCCTGGCCGCCCTTCCAGATGATGATCATTTGCCCGGCCAGGGTGGCGCATTGCACGCCGATGAACCAGGGGTTTCGGAGGACGCCTTGATACCAGATGTTGAGCTTGTTATCGACACGACGGCAGTTATGCTGATTGAAGAACTGCATCCAGACGTAGATGTTAAAGATCATGGTCTGTAGTGCCTCGCGCTCTGCGGTTGTGGTGGGGTGGAAGAGTTGGTCTCCTGCGTAGTGGAGGGTGAACATGACTGCGAGCTGGTAGATTGCCTGGCCTAGGATCATCTTCCACATTGTGATATTCACGATGGGTGCTGTCCGTGGCTCTGGCCTACGTTTGAGGAAGTCTGGTGAGGGGTAGTCGGTTGCTAGACCGAGCGAGGCGAAGATATCCATGATGAGGTTGATGAAGAGCAATTGAACGACAGTGAAGATGGAGTCTCCCGCCAACTCGGAGACAACAGTCAGAGTGCCAGCGGTGATGTTGATTGTGAATTGGAACTGCAATTCTGTTAGCGTACCTTGCGCGACTGAAGATCTAGATCTCACTTACTTGAAGGAACTTCTTCACAGCTGTGTTCACCGTGCGACCCCATACCAACGCCTTCACAATCGAGGCAAAGTTATCGTCAAGCAGGATGATAGACGCTGCTTCTTTGGCAACTTCGGTTCCCTGGATTCCCATAGCAAACCCCACATCCGCGGCCTTGAGAGCCAACGCGTCATTGGTGCCATCGCCAGTCACTGCAACCGTCTCTCCCATTCCTTTCAGATGGGTAACGAGCAGGAGCTTATCTTCCGGGCTAGATCTGGCTAACACCTGAAGGCGGGGGATAACCAGATCCAGCTGGGCGGGGGTCAGCTTCCGGAACGTCGGCCCATCCATGGCCAAGCCGCCGGCTGAATAGATGCCACACTCTGATGCGATAGCCTTTGCCGTCAGAAAGTTGTCTCCAGTGACCATCCGCACGAACACCCCGGCCTCCTGGCACTGACGCACGGAGTCCAGAACCTCGGGTCGAAGGGGATCGCGAATTCCAAAGACGCCGATGAATGTCATGTTCGCAAAGTGCTTCTCGAATTTGATAGAGTCGGGGTCATCTGGGTTCTCAAACGGTGCGTCAACATCTTTGTAGGCGATTACAATAGGTCGGAGCATCTGCTTGGCGTATTCGCGGATGGTCGATCGCAAGTCCTCTCGTATCTCGGTCGTAACAGGCTGGACGGAGAGGCCGGCCTTCGGTTCCTTGAGGATGGCGGTGCACTGGTCAAAGACGACCTCGGCCGCGCCCTTGACGAGGAGTCGGTGTTTTCCATCGGGCAGCTTCGACATGACCGCCATCCACTTTCGCGATGCATCAAAGGGGAACATGTCGACAATCTCGTTGTTTGCTCTCTCTTCGCCCAGTGGTCCCATGGCAAAGAACTCGCGGCTGAACCTAAGCAGAGCAGTCTCGGTGCTGGTCCCCACGAAACCAGCATCGTTCGGGTTATCGCTCTCGAATGAGGTTGTGTTCAGCGCGATGCTGTTCTTCGTCAGCGCTCTCACATCGCCGCTCAAAGATTCCAGCAAGGCTTTTGGATGCTCCTGGTCCGAGGCATCGTCGGTACTCAGGTCTTTCTTCACATCGTCTTTGCTGATTTCTCTTGGGGCATCACCGAAGTGTTCATGGAGTCCGATTCTGCCAGCGACGACCGTCATGCTGTTCTGTGTCAATGTTCCCGTCTTGTCAGAGCAGATGCATGTGGCGTTACCCATGATCTCACAGGAACGTATCAGGCGGACCAGGTTCTTGTCCTTGAGCATTCTGGTCGTGGCAAAAGCGAGAGCAAGGGTGACTGCGAGAGCTAGACCTTCGGGCACGGTAATCACTACAACAGTGACAGCTAAGATCAAAAGTTTGAAAAAGGTCTCGGCCTTTTCAGAGGCGGTTCCTCTCATGGTCGGAAGCCCAACGAGGAAACGGATAAACAGGATGAGGAAAAAGATGATACCGGCAATAGCACCAAACGTGATGAGTTGCTTTGCCAACTTTCCTAGCTTCTGCTGCAGGGGAGTTTCCTCGACGTCCTCTCTCAGCGACATCAATGTTCTGCCATACGTCGAATTGGTTCCTACCGATGTCACCAAGTACGCACCAACACCGCCAGATACAGTCGTCCCGCTGAGAATGAAGGGGTCAGTTGCCGAAGATCTGTGAGCCTTTCGGTTGCGGATATCACTCTCGCTAGGCACGTTCTTGTGCACGAGCTCAGACTCGCCCGAGAGGGAAGACTCATCGACCTGAATACCAGAGCCCTGCACTAGTACTCCGTCAACGGCGACGACATCGCCAGTCTCAATGTGCATGATTTCTCCAACCTGCACGTCATACACGGAAATGTTCTGAGTCTTGCCGGACCGGATGACTTTGACATCTCTCTGCTCCTTTCTCTCATTGAGCTTGGCGAACCTGGCGTTCTTTTGCCAGTCTGTGGCAGCACTGGCAAACACAATAACCAGGATAGCCACCACGACGGTGACACCATCGACCCATTGAATATTTGGCTCGTCGTCAGACGCATCTACTGTTTCGTAGATACCCAGCGCCAAAGAGATCGTGGCCGAGATTGTGAGGAGGAACATGAGCTTGTCGTTGAACGCAATCCATGCTAGCCTCAAAAATGACTTTTGCTTTCGTTTCGGGAGCCTGTTCTCGCCATAGATGCGCCTCCGGTCGGTATAGCCCTCAGTTTCATGTTGAACCAGGTCCAGATCCAGCTTGATACCGTGCTTGTGTTGTGTCGTTGGAGGTTGAGGCGTGATTGTGGCAGCTCGGTGTGCCTCTCCAGCGGCGACAGCCTCCTCAAACGATATTGTGCCCTCGAGACTTGTCTCGTCGACACTGAGGCCGGCGCTGAGATCTGTCCGCAGGCCGGCTGCAAGGCCAGGCAGACCACCGAAGCGTCGGAGCGCTGATAGGTTGCGCGCTGTGATGAGCTTGTGGAGTTGCGTCGGAGTGAACGCGAATCTATTGTTCTCGATGACGGTATCATCGCGGAGGTCCAATTCTTTTTCGTTATCCTCCAGCTGTTGGGCAAATTGCTTGCTGAAAGGGTCTTTTGATGAGGCCTGGCCTGGATCTGGCTGGCGCGGCGCGACGGCCGTGATCTCGTCAGTCATCGTCTT